TAAGTTACTGAAACTATCTGAATAGAGTGAGTGCTTTTTCTGGCTCAGGTTTTCTTCCATATCCCAGGCTGCTTTTGTTCACATCTTGTAGAATCAGTAAGTGTTTATTGGGAAGGAGAACTGACTGAAAGAGAGATTTTAATATATGCTTGAACTTAGACAGAAGATTAGGTGGAAGTAGAAAGTCAGTTTTTAGTTCTGATCATATTGATATACTATAGGAAGAAGGACACTGCTTTCTATGAAATCTGTATCTATCCTGTCAAGATTATAAATTACTTAGGATTTGTCTCCTATGCTCTCCTGAATAAAGACTGTTGTCTTTATCAGTCTTGAGACTGGAGGGAACCGCTGATTCTGGCGGGAATCTGGGACCAGAAGAGAGCCTAGAGATTTAGGATTGGACGGACTCTTTCTAGCAGTTGGAGGTGCCAAGCAGGGGTCATGTGGCAGGACTCTACTTTGTCCTGTTGGGCTATGGGAGCCTTTGTGGGGATGCCGCCCAAGTGTAGAGTGTCTCTCAGTCTTTCAGGGCAGAGGACGTGCCCTTTGCCTCCTGCACCATTGCATTTGCAGCTTGTTGCCAATGGTAGACAGCGTTCATTTGCTTTAATACCCGCAGTATGCTGTCCTTTCGTGAGGATCGGTATCCATATGAAGTACTGGTTTTCAAGTGAGTAATACTGCATGTTGAACAATATTTAACTGTTTCTTAGTGTTCATGGCTATTTGGACTCAGAAGGCTTTCCTTCTGGGGTGGAGTGAAGTTCGTAAGCAAAACACGTTATGCGCTGCGTAGATGGACTCTACTGCTAGTTGGATTCATCGCAAGGGTGTGGGTCTCTTGATCTTGCTCTACTTTGTTCAATTGAAAGAAAATTAACTTGGTTTCATTTTCAGCTAATTTTTTGGACTTTCAAGTAAAAGCAGTGGAGATACGTGGTTAAAATAACACAGAAGTGTATTTACAGTTAAAGTCTGTCTTGCTTCTCCCACCCGCTGCAACACAGACAGCACTTTGTGTATCCTTGAAAAGAGGTTTGCCTTTGAGGGGGTGGCTGTATCTCTGTGTCTCCCTCCACTTAGGTATGCAAAGTGGAACTGTACTTCCCTGCACTTTTGTGGCTCTTTTTTTTTTTTAACTTGGAGGTTGTATCATAGTAGGCCATGTAGATTTACCTCTTTTCTGAGGTGGTTTATAAATTGAGTGTGATGGATTGCTCATTTAAAACTATTATTTATTTGCCTTTGGAGTTAATCAGTATGATTTATGAAAGTATGAACTTTACAGGGAAAATGTTTTAAAATATATGAAGCAAGTGGCAAGGAAAATCAGTAACCATTTTGCTATTAAAGGCCTCATGAAACTTGGAATTTCTGGGGCTCAAGTAAAAATTTGTATTTCAGTATAAACCATACTTACGGTTTATTCCTGCAGAAACAATATATAAATAAAATTTCATATATTCAAGAGTTGATTCACATTTGAGAGTTTTCTAGAGATTATGGAGTTTTAGAATGAAGTGTTAGAGCTGAAATTTAGAATCTGTAGATAGACTGGGAGATATTTAGACAGATGAACTTAAATATGTGAATATCCCTTAAAGAGAAATCTTGAGCCATTTTTCCTATCTTTTTGAAAATCTTTATTTATTTGGCTGTGCCATGTCTTAGTTGCGGCATTAGGGGATCTAGTCCACACATTGGGAGTGTGGGCTCTTAACCATTGGACCACTAGAGAAGTTCCTATTTTTCATATCTGAAGCATCCTAAAAACATTTTTGTTATCTTTGAAAACTGAATGCATTTGATTTTAGACAGTGCTGCTGCTGCTGCTCAGTTGCTTCAGTCGTGTCCGACTCTGTGCGGCCTCATAGACAGCCCACCAGGCTCCCCCGTCCCTGGGATTCTCCAGGCAAGAACACTGGAGTGGGTAACCATTTCCTTCTCCAGTGCGTGAAAGTGAAAAGTGAAAGTGAAGTCGCTCAGTTGTGTCCAACTCTGTGACCCCATGGACTGTAGCCTACCAGGCTGCTCCATCCATGGGATTTTCCAGGCAAGAGTACTGGAGTGGGGTGGATTTTAGACAATGTATAAGTAAAATTTCAGGTGTTCAAGAATTGATTCACATTTGAGAGTTTTCTAGAGATTATGGAGTTTTAGAATGGAGTGTTATAGCTGAAATTTAGAATCTGTAGGTTGACTGGAAAATAGCCAGAAGGACTTCAGTTCAGTTCAGTAGCTCAGTCGTGTCCAACTCTTTGTGACCCCATGGACTGCAGCACTCCAGGCCTCCCTGTCCATCACCAGCTCCCGGAGTTTACTCAGACTTATGTCCATTGAGTCGGTGATGCCATCCAACCATCTCATCCTCTGTTGTCCCCTTCTCCTCCTGCCCCCAATCTTTCCCAGCATCAGGGTCTTTTCCAGTGAGTCAGCTCTTCACATCAGGTGGCCAGTGTATTGGCGTTTCAGCTTCAACATCAGTCCTTCCAATGAACACCCAGGACTGATCTCCTTTAGGATGGACTGGTTGGATCTCCTTGCAGTCCAAGGGACTCTCAAGAGTCTTCTCCAGCACCACAGTTCAAAGGCATCCATTCTTCGGCACTCAGCTCTCTTTATGGTCCAACTCTCACATCCATACATGATTATTGGAAAAACCATAGCCTTGACTAGATGGACCTTTGTTGGTAAAGTAATGTCTCTGCCTTTTAATATTCTTTCTAGGTTGGTTATAACTTCTTCCAAGGAGCAGAAGGACTTAAGTATGTAAATATCCTTTAAAGAGAAGTCTGAGATGTTATTAAGCTTATTTAAGAAGTTAAAATTCAATTTAAGTCTTAGGTGTGAACAAATAAGGTTGCAGTGGTTAAAGGTTAATATTCTTACTTTTAGAAGGGATGTGCTGAAATAATGGTGGTTGAAGTATCATGTTTGCAACCTGTGGATGATTGAGAAAGACAAATTATATATAGCAAACAGGACAGTGTTAATTATTGAGTTCAGATTTAATTATTTTTATTGAGGTATAGTTGATGGTACAACATTATATATTTCAGGTGTGCAGCACAGTGATTAATAGTTTTTAAAAGTTATGAAGATATCCTCTGCCTGCCTTTTGTTTGTAGAAAAAACTTTAGCCAAAGAAAAAGTCTAAGCAGAAATGTGAAAATGCAGAAACAACGGAAAACAGAGAACACCAAATAATGTAGTTTGTATGCATAGTCAAGGATCTTTAGTTCCTTCTCAAGGGCTGTAGGTAGTCCTCTGAGCCATATCCTGTGAGCAGTCTTACAGATACTGAAACCCCCACCAGGTAGAGAAGTTAACTTACGTGATGACCTGACTGTAGCCCTGACATAAGCTGCCACAATTCTGACAACTGGCCTCAGGAAATGGAAACAAACGGACCCTGGAACCGAACCGAACTATACTTAAAACAATCAAGATGACTCTGATTAATCAGACCACAGATGACCAATTTCTGTATGACTGTCAGAGATGACTGTACTGGTTCTACATGTAACCCCCTCCCTCATCCTATCAAAGCTCTTGCCCACTGATGGTCTTTGGAAGGTGTCGACCTTTTGGACAGGTTCCCTCCCACTCCTGCCCCGCCCCGCCCCATCCCACCCCCATCCAAAAGAAAGCAAACTTGACTTTCTACCAGCCTGGCCTCTTTAACGGTTGCTTTTGAGCAGCGAGCAGAGAATCTGGGCCCCACTTTTGATTACAGTTATATTCCATTTATTAGTTATAAAATATTCCCTGTGTTGTATATGCTTGTTTTTCCTAGCCTGTTTGTTTTATACACAGTAGCTTGTACCTTTTAATCCCCCCCCCCCCCCTTGTCTTTACTTCCCCATTACCTGCTCCCTACTGGTAACCATGAGTTTGTAGTCTGTATCTGAGTTCAGGTTTAGATACACTTTTTTGTGTTTTTGAAATTTTCTGTAATAAAAACTTAGTGGAATGGGGAAGCATGCCCCTTAAAAGTTAATGTGAATTGTATAATTTACTTGTACTTAAATTAAGTACAAGCAGTTATGGCTTTTAATACGTTTTAAAGTCTGAAGCATTCTTACTGTTGGTCCTTCTGTGATTGATGCTACTTCCATATAATTTCTCTACTGAGACAATATGAAGAAAGGAAATAAAGTGAATTGCTTGTAAGATGAAGGCAAAATGTGTTAAAATTTTTTATGATGTGAAATTTTTTAACATTAAAAATTACTTTTATTAATGACTTTTATTACTAATATTTTTTAGTAAATAAAAAGATTACTAGTACATAATACTTTGTTTATTAAATAAAAAGTATAAAAGGGTTTGAGGTCCATAGGACTTTGAAAAAAATTGAGAGCCAGCAAAGTACTTTTTGGACTTTGGTAAAATCAGAGAAACTTTTCTTGCACTTAGTTCTCTCTCTTGCTTTTTTTATTAAGAGGGAAAATACAGCAAAATTTCCCAACTGCTTTGAGATGGAAAGAGGTAGGATGTGATAGCACTTGTGTTCTCAGATTAGTGAATGGAAGAAAAGATCAACAAGTGACTTGCAACACTGTAAAGATAATCTTTTGATTCTAAATTATTTGAAGCTGGAAACTTTATTGTTTTATCATGTTTCTTAGAACTCTAGAAGGGGTGGAATGTGGTGAGCTGTGTGTGTGTGTGGTTTGGTTTGTTTTCTGTGGGGTATGGTGTTGGGGACTTTATGTCTGCCAAAAGTTGCTTAAATTATTCCATGGCTGGTTTGAGGTACTAGTTTTTCTTTGCCTTGATTTGCAATTTATTGCAAATAATATTTATTTGAAATTTAGTTTTAGAGAACAATTATTTGAAACTAAATAATTTTAAAGCATGTTGTTTTCTGGTGGAAAATATGGTTCATATGCTTTATGGGGCAGAATGTCAAGTGGTAATCTTAATTATTTATAAGATCATATTCATGTTAGTGAACTTCTAGGAATAACACAGCCTTTTTTCTTCTTTTGTAGCATAAGCAGTACTATAATGGATGTAGACAGCACAATTTCCAGTGGGCGTTCAACTCCAGCAATGATGAATGGACAAGGAAGCACTACTTCTTCAAGCAAAAATATTGCCTATAATTGTTGTTGGGACCAGTGCCAGGCTTGCTTCACCTCTAGTCCAGATCTGGCAGATCACATCCGTTCCATACATGTAGATGGTCAGCGAGGAGGGGTTGGTTTTGTCATTTCTTTTTTTCACTCCCTGTTTTTATTAGTTTTATTAATTTGTATTTGCTAGTTAGGCTTTATTTTTTTTTAAGTAATTTTGAAGAATTTTTATTTTTCAAATGTTTTATTTTTTCAAATGTTTTTTCCCTTTTATTTACTTTCCACATATTTGATTGAATCAAATAGAACATATTATGCAATGGATTTTAATTTGCTCTTAGGTGTATTTGAAGAAATTAGACTTTTTAAAATATGGTGGGAGTATTGTAAATGAATACTTGTGTATTTCAAGGTTCTGATGTTTTGAGTTGAAGGCTTTTAGGAATTGGCACTCTTAGGGATTTCTGTTAGAGTGGTCTTAAATTGTCCCTGATGCTGAAATTAACTGGAGAAACTATTGGTATCAGGATTAGTATATACAGTCCTGTTAAATGGCTATCTGTACTCATTATTTGTGATTATTGATCATCTTTCCTGGGTCTTGTCAGAGCTCACATGGTATTGATCTGTAAACTTTTAGGAATCCATTTAATTGTGTCAGTTCATATAATTTTTATTGAATAGTAAATAAAGAGGTAAAGCAAATTAGGTGAGTCACAGCATCATGGACCAAAATATTTGTAAAATTGAAAGCATAATACATACTTTTCAACTTTACCTGGATTTTTGTCTTGAATAGTTAACTATTCTTAGTATGTTTTCTAGAAATTAATGTCACATTTTTAAGTACAGATAATTTATTAGGCCACACACTGCCTATCAGTGTGGTATCACTATTGAGATACACTGATACTAAGATGATTAAAATCTTAAGTAAGTGGGTAACTGTTTCCAAGGTAGTATTAATATTTAGATTGTATTATTGATCTTTTTTTAAAAAGTGTGCAGCCATAATAGGGACTCCTAACATTTTTACCAATGGTATTGCATTTGAAATTTCTTTTAAAAATATTTACTGTTATCACAATATGTTACAATGTTTCAGCAGTCTTTCAGTTACTTAAACTTGTATAAGTGAACATTTGTCTCATTATTAGATTTAATACATATGGGGTCTGTGTAGATATCAGAGGGTGTATTAACACATTATTGACTGGGGGATTTTTGCAGAAACTAACATGTATGGTTGGCAATGGGTTATGTAAGTGAATATTGAAACATTCTGGTCAATAACATTTGGGTAACAAAAGACATCTCTGGTCAATAAGTTGCTAATGATCTGTGCCCATTATATGGTATTTTCACTGCATAACCCACTCAGTGGTTACGCTGCTTTGGTAACAGTCTTTATTTCCCCCTTGTGTATATCCCTTGGTTTCTTGGTCACTACAGAGTTGCCTTTTGTGAACCAGTGATTGGGGTCACTTGTTGTATACCACCACGGCAGTCGTGTGAACCATGGCATGATGCTTTATAGTCACTTGACTTGGCAACTCCGTGCAGGATCCCGGCTCTGCAGGCGTGATCTCCTGGTAGTAATAGGAGACTTTCACATTTCCAAGTCTTGATCCTGCAAGTTGAGTTGGCACACAGCCTTTGTGAGAATGTTTTCAGCCTTTGACAGATTTGTAGAAAAAATGGAGTTACGGACTAAATGTGTAATATAATCACTGCACCTGCATGTATCTTACTGATATTACAGAACCAGGCGTGAAGCTTTGGTATTTCTACCTTAAACTTGTTGAAACGGAAACCCCCCATGTCATTTCTTGAATGCTTATTCATAAAATTACTTTATTACAAATAATAAGATTCTCTGGCTAATTTTAAGAGTAATTCTATTTTGATTTAAGAAAGGAGTTCTGATCTTTGAAGGACATTAGTTGCTAAACTACAGACTTAAAGGCTCAGCTAAGTGAAGAAAATACATTTCATTACATTCCCATTATTTCTGCATACCAGTCTTTGATGTATAGACTTAAGCTTTCAGAGTGAAAGTTTGAATGAGAATTTGAAAACTTGATGTGTTGTGTGCTCAGTCGCTTCAGTCGTGTCTGACTCTCTGCAGCCCCATGGAGTGTAGCCTGCCAGGCTCCTCTGTCCATAGGATTCTCCAGGCAAGGCTATTGGAGTGGTTTGCCATGCCCTCTAGGGGATCTTCCTGACCCGGGGATTGAACCTACATCTCTGTCTCCTGCTTTGCAAGCAGATTCTTTACCACTGAGCCACCAGAGAAGCCCAAAACTTGATTACTACTAGATAATTTAGGAAATCTCAATTTGGTTTGTGCTTTAAAATAGAGTAGTTATGTTATGGCCATACAACCCTGAACACGCCTGATTTCAACTACAGTTGAGTAGTTGTTGGTTTTTTTTTAAATGATCTCTTTGAAGGGAAATTTAAAAACAATCATTTGCATTATTTTTAAGTGTGCACCTCAGTGGCATTGTTAAGTACAGTCACGTTGCTCTGCAGTGACTCCAATCCCTCTCCATAACTCTTTTCATCGTCCCAAACTGAAATCTGGACATACTAAATAATACCCCCCTAATCCTCCCTTCTGCTAACCCCTAGTAACCATGCTCCTACTTTCTGTCTTTAAATTTGACTAGTCTCGCTATCTCCTGTATAGTGGAAAACAGCTGATTTTGATGACATTTTTAAAGAGTTCTTAATTCTCTTCTTTCTACCCCAAATGTGAAACTGTCACAGTGGAACAGAAACAAATGAGGAAAATTATTGGCAACTCTAGAGGATTTTATGTTTCTAATTACTGAAAGATGACAGTTCTTCTGGAGCAGTAAGTTAGTAAGATCTATATCCTGTATTAATTCCTGTTCTTTTTCTCATCCAACTCTGCTGTTCACCCTGGGAAAACTAAAACAGCTTAGTAACTTCTTTACCTGCCTTAAGCTGTTTATGTTGCCATGTCATGTGGACTTTGTGTTTGGAGGCTGAAGGCAAGTGGAATTTTAAGGTTTCCTGACCTTTTCAAAGTGGGTGGATACTTAATCCTATAGTAAAAGTTAAACTTATCATTTAAGCACCTTTTTTTTTTTTTGAATATACCTTTTTAAAAAAGGTCAGAAAAGTACTTTATTCTCTAAAAAATAAAGACAAGCAAGAAAAACTTAATCTTTTTTTGTTCAGTAAAACCAAATTGTGTTCTTGGGTTCATACTTCCATGCATGACTGGATTTTAGAAACTAGACCGAGCTATTTTCCCTGTCAAATTTGGAAGACCTGTGTCCTCTTATGACATATGTAAGTCTTGGTAGGATGGGAACTTCATCTTGTAGGATTTCAGTGGCTCAGTAAGATCCATTAGTGTACTGTTTTTGTTTTTTTCCTTGTCTTAACTATTTCTCACTTTAAAAACAGTTAGAAATCTGTTTATCAGGGGTGCTCTTACACGTGTTATTTTTATTAAGTTTACTTTTGTATGTGTTCTTTGGTGTGCTTGAGGCAAGAGGGCCAGAGGGATATTTTGGGGGAGGTGATGACAGGGTATTACTATTTGGAGAGTTGAATGCGTTACCTTGATGTTACATAAAATTAGGCTTGTAGACTCTCATGGTTACATTGAATGCTGCTAGGAAATGGGGTCAATCTTAGGGAGGTCACTTTGAGTTTTGATTGCCAGTCTGATATTACTAGATTCTGAACACAACATGAAATTGGGCATATCTTTTGCAATAAATGAGAGATGTTTTTTCCTTGTATTGTGAGAGCTTACTGAATAGTTGCCCTCTGTTTATTAAATATCTTTTAACAGAGGAAATTGAAAATGTTAACACATTTAATGTGGCTAAAAATTACAGAATACAAAATTATAGCCTTCATCTTGAAAGAGTAGACTGATTAGAGACAAAATAATTAGATGTAAAAAACATTTACTTCTCTTTTATATGTTCACATTTTGCGAAAAACTGAGCTAATTTTTTTCTAAGAGTTTAAAGGAACCCTGAGATCTTCCATTCAACCCCTTCCTGACTTTATTTTAGATTGTCTGTCTCTTATTTAATATAAAATCTTTCTGTATCATTTTACTACAGAAGGAATCTAATTATTTAGTAAAAGTAGGCTTTTTTCACTCCCTTTGAGGATGTAAATTATATTGCTTACTGGCTCTATTTAGAGTATTAGGCTGATTTTACTTTACCAGTAGTAACAGAATTTTCCTTATACATGCTTATTAGACTTTGTTAGGTTGTGTTCAATTATTTTGCAGTGAGTCTTAAAATTTACCTAATTTTTTGATGGATTCATTTATGCACTTCATGTATGATATGTTGGTAACCAGGTGTAAGTGTATTTATCTTTACTGTCACACAGTCCATTATAGGTGTAAAGCTTGTGGTGGTATTATTGTTTAGTCTCTCAGTTGTGTCTGACTCTTGTGACCCCATAGACTGTAGCCCGCCAGGCTCCTCTGTCCGTGGCATTTCCCAGGCAAGAATACTGGAGTGGGTTGCCATTTCCTTCTCCAGGGGATCATCCTGACCCCAGGGATTGAACTCAGGTCTCCTGCATTGCAGGAGATTCTTTACCATCTTAGCTACCAGGGAAGCCCATGCATACATTCAGATAAATACGCTAGTTCAGGAAAATTAACCAAAGTAAGGGAGACTAGGACTATCCTTGGTTTGTACAAACTTCTTCATTTTAGGCCTTTTGGAGGAGACCCCTGACGGTAAAGCTGACCTGTCTGACAGTAATGAGCAAGGTTTTCTAGAGGAGTTCTTGGCAGAAGGCCTGAACCTCCCTCTAACACTGAAATTTTAGACCTCTACATCTTACAAGTGAGGTCATTATAAATCTGAAGTTAGTAGTAGAAAAATATTCTTTTAATGGCCGTGTGCTGTTTTTTTCCTTGGACAGTCTGGCAGAAGAAGATTTGCAGCAGTTATTTTGAGAAGGGACCTCCAGTGTCTAATATAAACCCAAGTTTTCTGTTAACTAATCCTGAGAGAAAATATTATCTTGCATTTTTGTTGTCTTCTGGACTTACAACAAGTGTGTACTCATAGCATCTATTTGGTGACAAAAGAAATAGAGACTTAAATTAGTGGTTCTTTGAAGATTGTGTAGCTGCAAAATATGAAAGGGCTGGATAGATTTTAGGTTGTTTAGTTTTGTTCTGTTTGTTATCTCTAATACAACCTGTTTTAACTAAGCCAGTTTATCATGAAAGACTGGACTATGCACTTCAGTGTTCTGATTAACATAGTTCCATCTTAATTCATTTTAAGGTAGTTTAGAGGAACCATGTCAGATTTTGTTCTTGAATAATTCCATTCATATTGAGCTCCTGTAATGTTTGGTTCTCAGTGTTAATTTTTACAATGAGAAAGTTTCTAAAAATAGAGTATAAAAATGTTTTTCATATGTTGTGCATACAGAAAGTCTCAGGTCAAATACCCCTTTGTCAGATTTTGGACTGGACTTAAGGAAATTTAGCTTTTTAAAGATTTGTGGTTTTTGGGAAAAGTTGATAATGGATTTTTAGTGCCCATTTTGTGTATCAAGATTATCCTTATGCAAGTTTACTTCTCCCCTATCCCCTCAGAGTAGTTTTCAGGTATTAATATTCTACCCGAATATAGCTAAACATAGTTTGCTTTGATCTCTTTACACCTAGCTCATTTCCTATAAAATTTACTAGGTTGAAGGTTACGGTTTTTCTTTGAACCTGAAGGTGTTGCTGCCCTAATAGTGTTACTAGACATTATTCCATCTAGAAGGATAGACCATACCTGTTCACACTTGAGGCTATTATCTGATGGAATCACACAGCCTGTAATTGCCTCCTGTTAGTGTTTGTTCTGGAGAAGGCAACGGCACCCGACTCCAGTACTCTGCCTGGAAAATCCTGTGGACGGAGGAGCCTGGTAGGCTGCAGTCCATGGGGTCCCTAAGAGTCACACACGCCTGAGCGACTTCACTTTCACTTTTCACTTTCATGCATTGGAGAAGGAAATGGCTACCCACTCCAATGTTCTTGCCTAGAGAATCCTGGGAATGGGGGAGTGTAGTGGGCTGCCGTCCAAGGGGTCGCATAGAGTCAGACATGACTGAAGTGACTTAGCAGCAGCAGTGTTTGTTCAGAGGAAAAAGAATTAGAAATCAGGCATGGTTGTTTCTCCCAGCTGTAGCTGTTGGGTGGGGACAGAAAGTGAGTATTTATCTTGTTGTTTCTTTGAGAGTAACTTAGCACAGGTGTTTCTTAAGAGTTACAACAATTCTTTACTGTTAAAATTTTTTTTTGCATAACTGAGATTAATTTTGTTCCCAAATACTTGCTTTAGGACATACCTGTTTATGCATGACTTGTGAAAGCATTTTGAGCCAGTCTGTTTATTACTTGGATTGAAAATTTAAGACTGAGTCTTAAGTTAGTCTTGAGTTAGGAAATTGATAGGATTGATATCCACATATGATTATTAAACAATGAATTAGTCTTGACAGCATATTGGTGTGCCTTTAAAGACTTGTCTACATTCATTAAAAAGTGGCTTTTAATTTTGGGAACTTGAGGAATCATTTTATAAACATGTACTAGGGTCAAGATTTTGTTATCTTTTTTTTTTTTTTAAGGAATTTAAATACCGAGGAGGCAATGTTGTGACATTGTATCTGCTTAACTAGACGAAACTAGCAAATGCTTTAAGCACATCAACAGCAATAACAGTGTTGTCTCGTTGTGAAATGGTTTTGAGTAAAAATTGATCTCAGTTATTTTAGACTGTTTTTTAGACTTCAAAAAATTTTATTTTAAACTTACTGTTTAGTGATTATTTCCTCAGTCCTGTGTGTATCTTTGTTTTGTTCTATATGCAGTACGTTACAATCTTCAAAGTGTGGCTCTATTTATAATTGTTGTAACCTTAGAAAAGAACAGAGCCTATAAATGGTTCTTTGAATGTAATGGTTATTACAGGTTCATACTTCTTTTACCGATGATGGGGAGCAGTTTTCAGGTTCAGTTTGATAAAAATAGAATCAGTAAAAAAAATTGGTATCTCAGTGGTAGGAAGATGGTAAAAATCATGTTGGTTGTTAACCCAGTCATACTCACTTGCCTGAGTATTACAGAGTAACTGCTGTCCTATCTTCTGCAACTGTATTAATTTTAGCATTCTGTATTAGATTTTGCTTCGTAATCAAGACAATTGGAAATCATTTTAAATAAATCAAAACAATGTAAATATAATATAAACATTGGTATGCATTTGAGAATAAGAAATCAACAGCAGCAAAATTATAATTGGAAAATTTGTTCACTCATTTTTTGAAGGTGAAACTATCAGTATCTACCAGTTGACTGTTTTGACTTATTGTTTCTTTATACCTTTATATATTCCTAATATTTACAGTTAGTGCATGCTTGTTCCTTCATTAATACATAGTATAAATTATGGTCCATCATTGTAATTCTCTGGACTGTATTGTTAATATTTTGTATATTTCCGTCTGAATGGCTCATTGGGATCGGTGTATCAGTTCCTCACTGAGGGAGTGGACAGCAGCCTTAGAGGGGGACGGTTAGCACTGCCTCATGTGGGAGGCTCAGAAAGTACCTACAGTGAGCGGTACATTCAGTGTTTCTTTGTCGATTGAAGACTTGCAGCATGTTCACTTGAATTTACAGGGGATAGAAGTCCCTGTTGAAAAAGGTGATGAAAATAATTATGGCTCTTCTGTTAACAGGTGTTTGTTTGCTTATGGAAAGGCTGTAAAGTATATAACACTCCATCAACCAGCCAGAGTTGGTTACAGAGGCACATGCTGACACACAGCGGAGACAAACCTTTTAAGGTAAGGAAGCGTATATGAGTTTTTTTTCTTCACTTCAAGTTGACATGTTTCTTAATAGGCATACTTCTGCGCTCCTAAAATTTTTTTCAAAGAACCATTTGTTTTAATATTCCTGTAGATGCATGCAATTTTATAAAGTAGATGAAGGTAAAGATAATTTAATCTGACTTTTATAATTTGAAGACCAGAAAAAAGTCAGTGTGAAGGTAGGGTCTTGAAAACAGCTAGTAGGCTGAGTAGCACTTTGAATGGATGTCTAAAATTGCTTGGTTGTCATTAGTACCTTGTACTCTAATTATGGTTTCTCAGTGTCATAGGTTTCAGCCTTTTTAATTAGCGAGCAGTTCTGATTATTACATGAAAAAATTTTGAAATTGTGGAGCATTAAAGGATTTGATTTCTTTCTCTCACTTTGAGATCATGTTACTAAGCTTAGTCATAAATTACTGTGTCAAATAAATGTATTTGGGGAATTCTGAGCAATTTCATGTAAAAACCATTTTTTGTTTTATCCTCATAAAAAGTTAAAATATTTTGCTTTGTAACTATGGAAAGTATATACCATAGAGATGAAAAGTTTGTCTTTGAAGAAGTCTAGTAGTTGTTAAACACAGTGTCTACTGGTATATACTAATAAACACTGCTGTGCCAGAAACTCACTTTTTGGGTTTCATTAGAGGAGGAGGTAATTCATGTGCAATTTTTTTAAAATTACTTAATTTTCTTGGAAAAGAGAATCATTAACAATTTTAAGAAATTATAAAGAAAAAAATTTATATTCAGAAATCTTTCTACCTCTCTTATTTCTTATTTCCTCTCCCCCAAATATATAACTGTTGTTCTTAATTACTGGTGAATTCTTTATGGAACTACAAGTAGATTCATATGTAGTATTGTTATCCTTCCACTTATACAACATCTAATAAACTATATACTCTCTGTATCTTATTTTTTATATAAACTTTATATTTTAGAGCTAGAGCAGTTTTAGTTTTACAGAAACATTACAACAATTAGAGTTCCTTTATGTCCTATACCAAGTTTCTCTCATTGTCAAGAATTTTATTGTGTGTATGTCTACCTCGCTTGTGTAACATGGTTTGTAGTAGAGATCTTTTCATATCTGTTCATAAAGAATATTCTCTTTTTCACACTTTCATAGTATTCCATTGTGTGGCTGTAGCAGTTCATTTAACCAGACTTTCAGAGCTGCTTGGGTTCATTTCAGTCCTGTGTTGTTGCAAGTAGTGCTGCAGTGACGGATCTTTGAACATATATCATCTTGTACGTGTGTAATTATAAATGTAGGAGAAGTTCCCAAAATGATGAGAGTGGCTGGATCAAAAGCTATATAACCATTGATAATTTTAATAAATATTGCCAAACTGCCTCGCGAGGGACTGTGCCTTTATCAGCGATGTTAGAGTGTCTGCCTTCTTCATAGCTTTGATGAGAGGGTTTTGCCAAACTTTTATATTTTTGCCAATCTAATAGATGAGAAATTGTATCCTGATGTAGTGGTTGTCCCATCAACTATGCCGCGCTGCCCCCCACCCCCTCCCCAGCCTTAAGATTTGTTTTGATCTTCCTGGTGGCTCAGTTGGTAAAGAATCCATCTGCTATGATCCCCGGGTCGGGAAGATCCCCTGGAGGAGGGCCTGGCAACACACTCCAGTGTTCTTGCCTGGAGAATCCATGGACAGAGGAGCCTGGTGGGCTGCCGTCCATGAGGTGGCAAAGAGTCAGACTCGACTCAGCGACTAAGCATAACACAGCGCAAGATTGATTTATCTTTTTTGACTGTTCTGGGTGGTCTTGCTGTGCACGGGCTTTTTCTCGTTGCGGGGAAGGTGCGGGGGCGGGGGCGGGACTACACATTGTTGTGGTGCTTGAGCTTCTCATGTGGCTTCTCTCTTGGAGCCTAGGCTCTAGAGCACAGGCTTAATTGTTCCACCGAGTGTGGGATCTTCCCGGCCCGGGAATAGAACCTTTGTCCCCTGCATTGGCAGGCAGATTCTTAAGTCACTAGACCACCAGGGAAGTTCCCAGCTTGTGGGATCTTAGGTTCCCTGACCAAAGATTGAACCTCCCCGCCGCCACCAAGTAAAAGCGCCAAGTTCTAACCACTGCACTGCCAGGGAATTAATTCCCTCCCTTGATGTAGTTTTAATTTGATTTTCCTTTATTATCAGTGAAGTAGGACATCTTTTCATATATTTGACCATTTGAATTTCTTTTTCTTTATTCTCTTAAAAATAGTCTCATTGAAAAAAAAATAGTCTCATTGAGCTTTCTGTTGGCGTGTGTGTCCTATAACATTGACCTCCTAGTCTTTCCATCTTCTCATACTGCAGGTTCTGGCCCTCATGTGACCTGGGACAGTTTTTTGAACTTCCTGTCTAACTTGTAGCTGGTAATAGTGGTTACCTCATAGAACTGTACAGTATGTAGTAAATGTAAGAGCTTATTGTTAAAGTAAGAGAATCATTTACTTTCCCACTGTGTTCCTTTCCATATATTTTTCTTTAAGGCAGGCATTCTTTTGCTGGTTGGTTATGATGTTCAAGTTAATTTCACAATCCATAGAAATGGATTTCCCCCCACCACATCTCTTTTTAGAAGCTGTATAAGAGTCTCATTGAAGAGGGGGAAAGAAACTGTCTTTTTAAAGGGTGTGATTTAGTGAGGCATTAGGAATCTTTGAATCAAAAAAAGCATTTATTGACGTTTGCATTACATAGCATTGTGCTAGGCATTTGGAAAGCAGGGTGAATAAGAATGGAAACCTCTGCCCTTTAGAGAACTTTTCTCTTTAGGTTTTTACAGATCTAAGTAGGTTTTAGTAATAAAATGTCTTCAGTTCAGTGCAGTCGCTCAGTAGTGTCCGACTCTCTGTGACCCCATGGACTGCAGCACGCCAGGCCTCCCTGTCCATCACCAGCTCTCACAGCTTGTTCAAGCTCATGTCTATCAAGTCCGTGATGCCATCCAACCATCTCATCCTCTGTCTTCCCCTTCTCCTGCCTTCAGTCTTTCCCAGCGTAAAGAGTCTTTTCCAATGAATCAGTTCTTCGCACCAGGTGGCCAAAGTGTTGGAGTTTGAGCTTCAGCATCAGTGTTTCCAATGAATATTCTGGACTGATTTCTTTTTTTTTTTTTTTTTGGCTGATTTCTTTTAGGATTGACTGGTCAGATCTCCTTGCAGTTCAGGGGACTCTCAAGAGTCTTCTCCAACACCACAGTTCAAAAGCATCAACTCTTCAACACTCAACTTTCTTTATAGTCCAACTCTCACATCCATACATGACCACTGGAAAAACCATAGCTTTGAGTAGACCGACCTTTGTTGGCAAAGTAATGTCTCTGCTTTTTAATATGCTGTCTAGGTTTGTCATAGCTTTTCTTGCAAGGAGCAAGTGTCTTTTAATTTTGAGGCTGCTGTCAACCATCTGTAGAGATTTTGGAGCCCAAGAACATAAAAAGACAAAATCATTGATTTGCTGTCATTCAGTTGCTAAGTCGTCTCTGACTCTGCAGCCCCATGACTGCAGCATGCCAGGCTCCTATGTCCTCCACGGTCTGATAAAATGCTAAGTGCCAGTAAATGTACGTCAGAAGGTTCCCTGGAAACATGGATTAGTGACCAATTAATGGGACTGGGAAAGAGTAGTAGAAGTTGAGTGGTAGTTGACTACGGAGAGGGGGTCATGTGATGATTCTTGAGATAGGAATCATCTTATCTCTTTGGAGACAGCTCCAAACTCCTTTTGGAAAATATTTTTTTAGTTGTAACATACCTCTATGTACATTAAAGTGTTTAAAGTACACTAAAGTGTTTCATACGTTTGTATGTACCTGTGTAACTACCATTCCGATGAGGAATATTTTCAGTAAAACAAAGCTTCTTAATGCCCCCCTCTATCCTCTACTCCTTCCCCTAGACCAGATTATGATTTCTATCATCTTGACTTAGTTGTATGAGCTTTTGTGTCTGGCTGTTTTCACTCAACAAAATAGCAGTGAGATTTGTCCTGTTGTAGGTTGTTACTGTTATTTAGTCGTTAAGTCGTGTCTGACTCCTTTGCAACCCCATAGACTGTAGCCTGCCAGCCCCTCTGTCCTTGGGATTCTCCAGGCAAGAATAGTGCAGTGGGTTGCCATTTCCTTTTCCAGGGAATCTTCCTGACCCAGGGATTGAGCCCATGTCTTCTGCATTTCAGGCAGATTCTTTACCACTGAACCACCGGGTAAGTTCCCTGTGTACCAGTCATTTAAAAAATAGTTGCTGTGTAGTATTCTGGTGTACAGTAAACCATAGTTTATTCTTTCTCCTGCTGATGGGCAAGTTGGATGTTTCTGGTCTTTGGCTGCTATTAATCAAGCTGTCTTAAACATACTCTTCCACATGTCTTCTGATGGCAGATGTACTTATTTCTCTGGTTGTATAGTTAAGCGTGGAATTACTGAGTCACAGATAGGTGTATATTTAGCTCTAGAAACTACAGACTCTTTTCCAAATTGGTCATACATTTTATGTTCCCACCAGCAGTTAATGAGAGTTAATTTAGTTGCTCTAGATCTTGATATTTGCCATCTTGTTAATTTTAGCCGCTCTGGTGTCTATTTAGTGGTATCCTGTTGTGACTTTAATTTTTACTTCCCTGATGAGTAATGATAGGTTAACCGAACACATTTTCAAAGGCTTTGGCTATCTGAATTTCCTCTTTTGGGTGAAGTGCCTATTCAAGCCCTTTTTTATTTTACCTAATGATTTGTCTTTATTATTATATATAAAATTTTATATATATTTTGGATATAAGTACTTGGACAGATACATGTATTGTGAACACGAGTCTGTCTTTGGTTATCCTTTTTACTTTTTCCTAACAGGATTTTTTGAAGAACAGTTTTTAGTTTTAGTGAAGTCTAATCTCTCATTTTTTTTTATGGTTAGTGTTTCTTGTATTCTGTTTAAAAAATCTTCGCCAATCCTCGGTATA